GGCCTCTGCCCCGCCATCCCCCTCCCCCGGAGGACAGGAGGCCCACGCAGAGGCTTCCAGCCAGTGCTGGGCACTCGTGGGAGAAGTCCCAGCCCCTTTGGGAGCGAGGGCAGTGGGGCCCCAGCGGGGGCCTGTCCCGTGGCCAGCCAGGCAGGGGCAAGGGCGGCGTGGCTGGGAGCCCCTGCACGGAGGGGTGGGACCAGCCAGGGCTGGGAGTGTCTCCCTCCACCCCCACTTTCACTGGCCTCAGACGTAGGGTGGCTCAGAGGATGCCGGGGACCCCTGGGAGGTGCCTTTGCAGGGGGCTACCAGGGTGACCTCTGGGCACAGTGGGCGGAGCGGAAGCCCGTGCGGCAGGGGTGGGCAATGGCGCTGGCTTCTCAGGGCCTCACCAGAGAGGCTATGCCTGCAGGGCGTTGCGAGCGGAGGAGACACTTGGACCACGTCTCGGGGATTCCTTTCCATGCTGGGAATCGTCCACTGTCGGGGCAGAGCCCCAGCGGCCCCAGGCCCAGAGGCGCCCGGCAGGGCTTCTGTGTGGTGGAGGGGAGACATCCCTTCCTCCCTGGGAGTCCCAGAAGTTCTCCGTGCCTGGAGAACTTCCTCCCGCCTCCAGCCCTGCTCTGGCCTAGGGCTCCCTGGCCCCCGGAGTCACAGGTCCTGGCGTGGCCCCTTTCCGGCCCCCTGAGGCCCGACGACCTGGGCTGCGGACGATCTCGGAGCCGCGCCCACCACGGGCCCTTCCACAGCCCTGCCGCCAGCACTGTCTTTCCTCCCCGGAGGTCCGAGGCGGCCCCGGCGTGGGCACCCCATGAGCGTCCTGCTTGTGAGTCTCCGTCCGAGCAGCTCGCTCAGCCCGTTGGGTTGCGGTCTTCAGAGAACGTTCCCGAGGGCTCTCCTGGGGGATCAGCATCCCGGCGTGTCGCGAGGGACACCGGGGCCCCGAGAGTTACGAGGACTTGCCGGGGTCTCCCGGCTCCCGAGCGACGGCTAGCGAGAGCCTTGGCGTTCCGCCGTACCATGCCCCTCGGAAACCTCCCCTGGCGAAGGTGGCGGCCTCCGGATCCGGCCCTCGAGGTGGACCAACGGGGGCTGTCCTCGGCGCAGAGCCGGCAGGGCCGGGGCCGAGTCCTGCACAGGCAGCTTGGGAAGCACAGGACCCCGGCCCGTGGCACAAGGGACGCACCGGAGACTGTCAGCCCGCTGTAGCCTGCCTGCTGAACTGAGCCACACGGCCCCGCACACTTGCGCCGCTCATGTATGTGATCCTGGCGCCACTTCCTGTGTCTGGTCGGACCTGAGGTCGCCACACGATGTGGCCAGAGGGATCGTGAGGAAGGGCCACACGGGCCAGGGCCGGGCAGGTCCACCCGTGTGCCGACCGGTGTTGCTCACACTGGCCAGCGGCCTCGGAGCCGCCCGGGCCTGTCACACTCTCACAGGTGGGGGGACCCTGGGAGGCCGAGCACTGGCTGAGGAGTGGCAGGCTCAAGGGGCACCTGCTGCCTGGGGAAGCCTGGGGGCCCGCAGGCGCCGATCGGAGCCAGAGCGAATGTCCCGCGGGGGCCGCACCCCAGAGCCTGGGCCCAGAGGGCCTCTCTCCCCTCCTGCACGTGGGGACAGGGTCGGGTCTGCGGGAAGAGGGCCTCTTCCTACAGCTGAAGGCTGCCGCGCACCGTCTAAGTGTGGTGCCACAGCCACACTCTGGCTGAACCTCGAGCCTCATCTCGCGCCTTTTCCTTCCCCGTGGCTGCCTCCGTTTCCAGGCGGGGGCTTTGGGGCTGGAGCGGCGAGAGGGTGCCCAAGGGGAGGGCTTCTTGCGGCTGGCAGGACCCGAGGGCGCCATCCCTGGAGCGGCCTGGACGGACCCACCCACGGAGTCACAGGTGTTGGCTCTGGACCCGGCCCTCGAGGTAGACCAAAGCGAGCTGATAGGACCAGGTCCTGCGCCCGCGACCGAGCTGGCAGGGGGCCCTCGAGGTGGCCGTGGCATCCACGTCTTGTTTTGTTTTTCTCTCACCTCCGATTCTGCTGGAAAAACACCCAAACCTCAGGTCAGATGAACCCAGGCCAGCAGCACCTGCGGCGGAGGGCGGAAGTCAAGCTGGGCGGGAGGGGAACCAGCCGTGCCTCGCCTGTCCCCAGGGAGCGGTGGACTCCCCCGGGCGCGGGGCATGGGCCCACGGGCGCAGAGCTGCGTCCTGGGGGGAGGAGTCCTGGCCGGAGGGGGCGGCTGTCTCCCGCCAGGCGCTGCTGGGCAGGAGCCACGAACACCGCGGGAGCCGACCTGCCCTTGCCGCCGACACAGGCCTGGGAGGATGGCGAGGCCGCACCCGCGCCTGCCAAGGCTCCGAGTCCCGTCCCATGCTGTGGCGTCTTCCGAGGCGCAGCTGTGGGAATGCCGGGGGCGGGGAGAATGCCGGGCTCCGAGGCAGAGGATCCACACGGACTCGGCCCAGCCCTGGTGTCATCCTGGGCCTCGACTTCCTTGCTCGGAAGCTCGGTGATGCTCTCGCTCCCAGGTTCCCCAGGGCTCAAGGGCGCATGTAGATGCAGGTGCCCAGGACGACTCCCAGGCGTCCGCCAGGCCCTCTGGAGACAGTTGCTGGGCCCAGGGGAAGCGTTTGACCTGTGTCCGCTACTTGCTGGTGGGAAGCAAGCCTGTTCGTGGGCCAAAGGTCGGGGAGCCACCCCCCAGAAGAAAACAAATGCAATTTTACTGTTGACAGTTTTGGAAAAAGCAGCATCTGGTTCAACTCCTTTCCCTCCGGTAGGCTTTGTGATTCCCATTTCACGGGTAAAGCCACTGAGACTTGAGATGTCCATCACCCTTGTCATCCCCCAGCCGCTGTCCACAGTTGGGTGCGTCAGCGCTGGGGGCTGAGGACCCATGAGACAGACCCATGAGAGCCGCCAAGGGAAAGTCCCTGAAACACAAAAACAGACAGGGAGGCTCCGCACCAGAGCTCAGCGAAGCCAGCCCTGGGGGTGTCTGGCAGAGGCCAGGCCTCTCAGGTGACTCGCTCAACAGGCCCTCAAGGCCTAGGGGGACCCAGATATTAAGGGCGCTCCTCCCCCACCCAGGACAGGCCTCCCTGCATCTAGCCAATGCCTTGCCCTGGTGGGGCTGGGGGATGGAATTAGCTCCACTATGCAAAGCAGCAAGAAGGGAGAGGCAGGGCCCAAACCAGCCAGGCCCTCTGGCACCCAGGTGGGGTGTAGGGCCCAGCCCCGCCTCTGGCAGGGAGACAGTGAGCTGAAAGCCACTGCCCACCCGGGGTCCGGGGAGTCTGGTGAGAAGGGGCGCCCCTGTCACTAGCTCTCACACACTGCCCGGGTTCTCCAGGGATGGGTCGGGGCCCCACGGAGGCCGGGCACGAGCAGAAAGGCCTGTGGGGTGTCCCCCACGCGGAGCACAGCCGGGGGAGGGAGGCTCAGACTCTCAGACTGGGCCGGCCAACCGTGCCTCCCACAGTGGGGGGTGGGAGGGTCCTCAGACTGTTTTGTGCGGACCCTGGGGCCCCCTGGCGCCCCATGCATGCTGGGAATGTCTGACGGGGCCGTCTGACCAGGAACTCCCAAAGTCACTGCACGAAGGCTCCTCTCTGGGACTGTCTCCCCTGACGGCTTTGGGCCCTAGGCTTGGAGGGAGGGCTGGGGCGCGGAGGGGGTGTTGTAGGGACAAGGAGCCCCACCCTCGAGGGGCTTCTGCCGTAGCTGGGGCCAGTGGGAGTGGCACAGGCAGCTGCCTGGCCGCTGCCGCGGGGCCTGTACAGGGCAGGTGCCGGGGAGGGCATCCTGGGAGTGGAGGCCTCGTGTTGCCTGTCGGCTGAGGCGGGGACAGGGCGAGGGCAGCCGGCCCAGGGGAAGGGCCAGCCTGACCTCCCTGTCGGGCTCAGCCAGGGCCAGAGGTGGGGAAGGAAAGGGGCTGTGACCCCGGCTCCCAGGGCCCCGCGGAGGAACGCGTGTGACCAAGGCGGCCACCCCTCTCACAGCTCCGGGGGGCTCGCAGGTGCCGACGACAGAAGTCCCAAAGGGACCCTCCTTCCGAACCGTGCCCACAAGACGCCATGAGCCTGCGGGTGGTTTCTCAGGACACTTTATTCCACAGGAGGAGGGGCTGGAGGCCAGGGCCAGGGTGGGAGACGACGGAGGGAGGAGTGAGGTTCTCGGGGCCCTTGGGGGCCCGGCTGGGGCCAGGCCCTCCCAGGCTCTGCAAGAAGTCAGTCTGCTCCGAGTCCATCCGCAGACTCCTGGCCCGTCTCTGCCTTCCCGGCCCCTTGCGAGATGGAGTCCCCCGGCACCCCGGGAGCTGGGCCTCTACACCAAGAGAGCGCCCTCCAAGCCACTCCCCGCTGTCCTTCTGCCCAGACTCTTCGGCCAGAGCTGGGGACAGGGCTGGAGAGGGCAGTGGCCGTGGCGGGCAGGCCGCAGAGGCCGCCGGGGTCAGGGAAGGGGAAGGAGCCTGGCCGCTCCACAGCGGTCGCCGAGGCCCAGAGGCTGTGCCCGGGGCGTGGGGCCGGCCTCACTCCTGACCTGGGTGCTCGCCCACTGACCACTTCACCTCCCCTGCCCGCAGAGTCACGATGTCCTCGTAGGTGGCCGTCTGGTCGACGTCCAGGCCCTGGAGACGGGAAGGGGCGCTCAGGCCTTGGCCGCGCCCTGGCCGCACCGGCAGACGCGGCCCCAGAGCCACGACCACCCGCCCTTACCTCGTAGGTGTGGTCTTCCTCCCTCCCGGCCTTGCTGTCGTCCTGGGGGTGGAGGGAGGCAGGTCAGAGTGTTGGCGTCCCCGGCCCCCCTCCCACCGGGCCCGGCTGGGGAGGGCAGGAAGACGGTCTGGAGGTGGGGGTGCCCTCTGCAGCGGGCCGAGTGAACGGCTGGGTGGTCGAAGGAAAGAACGGTCACCGCGTACACGACCAAAGGACGCGTGGCCAGACGGGGCAGTGAAGGCATAACTGAGTGAACGAACGCACGAGCTTGGGAAGGACGGGCGAGCCCGCCGGCAGGCGCCGGGC